TTTAATCATCAGATCATTGTGATATTTGCTTTTTTCGTGTTCATGACATGGAATCGCGCCTCATATGTTGGATATTCTCTTGTGTCAGTCAAAATTATTGTCGGAACCTGAAAGAGATGTGAAATACTAGTATATTACTATTTACAGTACATACTATGTGCATTTTATGATCGTACATCGATTGGCTCTCCTATTTGCTAAGATGATGAAATGATGCTTTTGCGAATAGTTGCAAGCTCAATCTCTAAAGAGAAGAATAATGAGAGATTAGGTAAAGAAAGTAGCCTCGTATCTTGCCTAAGTTTCTTCTTTGATGCTGCACGAGCAACAATCGGAGAATCACGTGATTGGGCACGTTTGGTGGAACCTCCGCGGCGCTAAAAATTGTATCAAAAAAAAAAAAGACGGAGAGAGAGAGAGCAACATCAAGGTCACAACCACAACAGTGACACTTTCGAAATATCTTTGACCTTTTGTTTACCAGCAACGGAATGATTGTATAGCGGTCGGCTCTACAGGTTGAGAGCCAGGGTAGGTCATCTTTTGCTTTCCCAACGAGGATCTACTTCATTTTTTTTTTTCACTCAATTCAAGCACAAGCTTCGTCGACTTTTAAGCTCGATTTTACCGCATTACGCCGTTAATCATAATGGATATTCACCGCTGCCGCTTCGTTTCTTATAACCCTCAAGCGATCAATGCGCTCGCATTCTCCCACCCTCCGTCTGCAGAACTTGCAGGACGTGGTGTCCCTACCCTCCGACTCGCGGTTGGTCGCGCAAATGGTGATATAGAAATATGGAATCCACTGCGCGGCGCATGGTTTCAGGAGACAGTTCTCCGTGGAGGAAAGGATAGAAGCATAGAAGGACTTACCTGGACACTCGATCCGCCTGAGCCTGGCCCCGATGGTTCAAAGATACCCGGAAAACTGCGCTTGTTCAGTATCGGATATTCGACTGCGGTAACTGAATGGGATATCGAACAAGGCCGTCCCCTGCGTCACTCAAGCGGAAATTATGGTGAGATTTGGTGCATAGCGGCTCAGCCAAGATGGCAGCCTACGAAACGAGGCAAGGATGGCAAGTGGCTGCCTCCAGCGGAAGGAGAGTACACCGGACAACACCTCGCCGCGGGATGCGCGGATGGATCTATCGTGATCTTGTCTACGGCCGACAATGATGTCAGGTTCCTTCGTCTTATGCGACCTTCTACAAAGAGAGCCAGGGTGCTTAGCGTCACCTTCCAAGATCGTAACACTATCGTGGCCGGCTATGCGGACAGCTCAATCCGTCTATTTGATATTCGGAATGGTCAACTCCTACGAACAATTTCTTTGGGCAAGGGACCGACGGGTGGTACGAAGGAATTGCTGGTCTGGTCTGTGAAGTGCCTTCCCGACGGCACTATTGTATCTGGCGACTCTGCTGGTGAAGTTCGTTTCTGGGACGGCAAGAATTTCTCGCTTATCCAACGACTCAATTGTCACTTAGCTGATACTTTGGACATCGCTGTGAGTGCCAATGGAGACACAGTTGTTAGTGGAGGTGCGGACCAAAGAACAGTCGTCTATAAAAAGAAAGCTGGGGAGAAAGGCGATAAGAAAGGCCGATGGGTTGAGGTGATGCACCGGCGGTACCATACCCACGATGTGAAGACCTTTGCTGTCTATGAGACGAGGGACATTAGTGTTGTTGTTTCTGGGGGTGAGAGTTGATCGTATTTTCCAAGCATTGGCAAAGTTGGCTGACAAGAATTAGGACCTGATGCCACTCCAGTTGTCTTACCTTTGCGTGAGTTCGGAAAAGAGCACCACAGAAAGCTATCGAGTCTGCCTCAAATACCACAGCTTGCGTCTTCGCCGTCATCTCGACTGGTCATGAGCTTCTGGGATAGAGAGATTAGCATCTGGCGCCTGTTCCGCGGTCCCACATCTTTGCAAGAAAACCTTGATGGGCAAAGGCACCGATTGGTTGGAAAGGTCCTGATCCAGGTATGTGTGAAGATCACCCAGTATCAGCGCTTATGAAGTTCATTTCTAATGGACTTATCGCATGATAGGGCGAAGAGAATATCACCTCAGCTATGCTATCTTCCGACGGAAAGATCTTAGTCGTTGCTACGATATCCAGTGTCAAAGTCTTTTCTGTTCGGAGGCGCAAAGGTGATGAGAAAGGAACCCTCCGCATACAAAAACTTGATATCCCATCTGCACTCGCTAATGACGGTGCTCGAGTCGTTACCGTTTCCCCCGATAGTCGGTGGATCTGCATCGTTCGTCCCAATAGTGCTACCTACTTAGCCAGGATCAAGCCTGCTTCATCGCCTCAGGAGAAACCCCAGGTCCTTGCCCAACTCGTCAAACTTAACAGAGCTACTCGTCATGCTCGCTATGAGAAGGCTTCCCATGGTACCTTGGGTGAGTACGAAAAGACCATCCGATGCGCCGTGTTCTCTGAAAACAGCAAGATCTTTGCAGTCGGAGATCTCTCTGGGTGTGTGGACGCCTGGTCGCTGGAGAAAGCTGAGCCAAAGACCTCGGCGAAGGCCAATGCTGCCGAAGACTCTGATGAAGATTCCGATGATGAGGACGAACAGCCAGTGGTGGAGGGCGAGCGTTGGACTCTCACAGCCGCTGAATCGCCAATTCCTCGTCTCAAGTCTGGCGTACTACTGTTGTCCTTCCGTCCTCTGAACCCGGCCGGAAAGAAGTTATTGGCCAACCATGCTGGTCAGGATTCTAAGGTTGAAAGCCGGTTGATGGCTCTTACGAGTGAGCACCAGCTGGTGGAAGTTGATGCTCTTGATGGAAAGTTGTCGGATTGGTCAAGGAGAAACCCTAAAGCTTTCTTACCCGCAGAGTTTAGAGGTGTGAAAGATCGCGCGATGGGCTGTGTTTGGGACTTGAACGAGGCCCGTGAACGTCTCTGGCTCTACGGTACCTCTTGGCTGTGGATGTTCGACTTGAACCAGGATTTTCCGTCTCCGGAAGAGCTGAGTGCTTCTGCAGACACTCATGATGATGGACAGAATTCTATGCAGGTTGCTAAGAAGACTTCATCCCAAAAGCGCAAGCGTGGGCTTTTGGATGATGAGGAGAATGACAGAAAGAAGCCGAATACCGGTGCCGGTGACAAGATTCCATTAGCACAGTCTGACGTTTTCTTTGGTTCCAAGATTCGCAAAATCGTAGGAAGCGACGAGTCGAAAGCCGAAATCATCTCTCTCGAGAAAGAACGTCCTCGTGGAGCAGATGAAGATGATGAAGCATACGATCACGATGAAGCTTATACAGCCAGCCATGATTCTAACCTGGCTCGCCTAAGGAGAGGAAATCTTGAAGGTAACGACGTGAGTACCCCCAAGAAGCAGCTTAGCAAGACAGCTGCCAATGGCGATACGCCCTCTCAGAAAGGGCTGGTGCAGGCCGCGGGTAACTCACATTCGACACGTCGTTGGTGGCACACATACAAGTACCGTGATATTCTCGGAATTGTACCCTTGAACCCCCAGGCAACAGATGAAGAATCACAGGAACAAGAAGATGGTGGTAACTTAGAAGTCGCAGTTGTGGAGCGGCCCATGTGGGATGTTGAGCTTCCGGGTCGCTATGTCAGGGACTATGAGTGATGAAGTCACCCTTAGGTACAGTGCATTAGACCCGACCGAAGATGTGACATTGGAGTATCATGTGCGGGTCGGCATGGCAAGCGATTCTTCATTATACGTTTTTCTTTTCTCGCCTTTGAATACTGTCCGCTGGAAACCCCCCTCCCAGTTGATAGGGCCCCGATGTCTGGCGCTTTTGTACAGGAATATCCATTTCTACTTATTCGGCTAGCAGGATGTGCTTTTTTTTAGAGACTCATACATACAAAAGTTATTCATACAACGGCGATGCCTGATTGATTACTTCCTTTATCGGTAGGCAACGAGGATGTTGACGGTCGCCTCAGGCGCCGCGCGGCTAGCAGGTGACTTGGCATCAGTCAACCATCTTGTAACTCTCTCCTGCTTTGTCCATCTCGGATCTTCTTCTGCTTCTTCGTCAGCGTCGTATTTGGCCACGTCATACTCTTTAGGGTTGGCAGGAATGGCATTCGTTTGCACTGTTAAACGTTGATGCCTCGTATTGAATCACCATATATACATTCCTTGTGCCCTTCCCGAAGTTCTCACCCCTTGCAGTCATATGGTTTCGTGCGGTACATTGTACTTCTATCTAATAAAGCTCCTTAGCTGTGGAAATCGTATTTTTTTTTGAGGAATTGCCTTGGCTCCTCAGTTCTCTTCAAGTGATCAGTCTGAAACCATGTTCAACAGTAGCCCACATTGTGTCATCTGTGGTGCAAAGATTACATATCGTCACCGCACAGTCTCTTGGAAAAGAAACTTTCGTGCAAGTCTGTGCTGAGCCGTTTTTTTCTCCTCAATACAGTGGCTCTATCGATTAGTACTTGTGAACTGACAATCATATAGTTAGATGTGATGGCAATTCTCAGTTAGATGGGAAGCCTTTCGTTACAGGAGTGGGCAACTATGTCCCTCCAGAGATCCTTTACAACTGTGCTGCACCTTCTTCTGCAGAACAGCGATGGGATGACAGTGACCTTGTCTTGTCTGAGGAGGATTCATTTCCTCCGCTGATAGGTGACAGACTCCATCCGCAACCTGGGTTTCTTCTCCATGAATCGTGCTGGGAACTACTACGAGGCATGCTTCATCCCCATGCTGTTCCTATCCAGCGGTTATATGATATATGTCTCTCATGTCCAGCGCACATAGAAGGATGGCTGGATTGGGGACATAATTACGGTGGGCTCATGGACCAACATCCTGTTGGGGGCTATCCGTGGGAGGATATATATATTACGGGCTATATAAGACGATTCCTATGGGACAAGAGTTCTCCCTTGACGCTGGCCACGTCAGACCCATTAGACGCCTTGGAGGTGCGGCAAGCGCTTGTAGGTTCTCAGGATAGACGAGAGAATACAACAATGACCAGTTCGATATCCTCGGTTTGGATAACCACCGCTGATTGCTTTCAAAAGCTTCCTCAAGAGATACTGGAACAAATCCAGATGCTTCTACCATCTCGCAGTGTTGCTGACGTGCGTTTGGCATCAAGGTCGTTCGCTGGCTTGCCACTTACGCAGTCATTTTGGGCTTCAAGGTTTGCTTGCCATCAAGAGCGTGGATATTGCTTCGAGGCTAGGGATTCATTATATAGTGGAGCTCATGCACTACGCTGTAGGGATTGGAAGGCTTTCTACGAGGATACAGCAGTGACATCAGATTCATCCAATGAGTTGAAGAATCGAAAGCGGATCTGGTGTTACTTGAAGAACATAGCAGATCTAGTTCTTGAACAACCGTTGAGCAGTGAAGGGATGACCAGGGAGCTTGAACTATGGCCAAAGGAGCCTCTGCCGGCATGGAGGCCAGTTGGAGGAGACCTTTCTGTGCGGTCTAACGGAAACTCCCCTTACCAAATGAAATGCAGGGTGATATATGAGCAAACAATCCCAATCACCTCTTCAATAAGATCAATTGGGGTTTCCTTTCGAGAACTAAGTGATAAGAAATATGTCTCAGGTCTTCGGCTCGTACTTACAAACAACGAGGAGCTTAGACTGGGCTATATCCTACCATGTAAGGAGAAACACGTTGAGTTGAAAAGCGAATGCTTCGACTTGAATGGGTTTATTGCCGCAGTCGGCCCTAGAGGTGTCATGGCACTCCGTGTTGCAACCGGACAAGGAGAGATATCCAACTGGGTGGGCTTGTCAGAAGGCCTGCCGCAGACCGCCCGGCTGTGTATGAAGACAGCAATCCACGCTTTGAAAGGTTCCTTCGATGTGAGCTCACTCTTATTTTCTTGGAAGATAACTATCGCTGACAGACATGATCAAGGGCTTCAAAATGGTATCTTTAGCTGTTCCCACTGATCTTCAGCCGCTCTTCCCTGACGATACCAGAGGTGAATACCTACACCTGCGAACTACAGGACTTTGGTATCCAGAGATCCCTCCCTCATCCTACCATCTCTACGACGATAGATTCGCCGGACGAAACATCTCTCTCCTTGACTACCGTCCACTTGTGCATGTCATGTTTGGTGGAAGACGGGGCAACCTCCTTAAGTACCTAACCCGTATTTCAGTTACAGTGTCCAATGCAGCAATCGTGGGGATAGATTTCTTCTACACAGATGATTCTCCCGTAAAGCAGCTCCAAGCTTGTCCCTCAACAGCTAGCGGGGACGATTCCGTCAAAATCCCCTTCCTGATCGATGGACCGGGGGGTGAACGGTTAACAAGTCTCCAATCGGACGGTGATTTCCTCCGAGCGTCCGCTGGCTATGGGTCGTACAGAATAAAAATAACATCATTAAAGGTAAACCAAATCCACCGTTCCAACTATCAGCGTGTGCACTACTAATCTAGCTCCCCACGTCAACTGGGACATCACATATAACCAACCCATCAACATCTCCCTCAACGGCAGCCAATCGGGATAACCAACCAGACATACAAGTTGACTAACAATGTACCTTAGATAACGACAAACACAAGGCCAAAGCCCTTCATCTTCCAACCAAGCGCTATCCCGGCCCTGAAACTCCCTACCGGGGGCTTTCCTCCTCGAAAGTCCAAGAGACCAGAAATACTACCCGGTACTACTTTGACGGGCATGTATTTCATGTATGTAAGTATCCATCTTTTCCATTATTGGGGTTTTATCTGTTCAATTACGTCCATGTATTATCCCGGGCATGCATTACATCTACAATACTTGTCATTGACATGGGTTGGACCTAGGATTCTCAATTTGCTATGAGCAGTGTCGGGCCCATTTCTGAGGACTTGAGTGAAGGAAACCTTCCGCGGGACACTAGTATAGAAGAAGAGATACAGGCGCGAATTTTGGGGAAGAAGCAAACCGCAGGCGAATGCTGATAAATAAGCACTAGTAGTTCAAATTTCATAGCGTACGATATGGTATGTTCACACAAAGATCACTATTCTTGGAATTCTGTTACAGTTGAGCTCAGCAATTTTCTTTGTAAGGACATGTGCATGGATAATGAAATGTGTACAGAAGCCTTTGGATAACAATAGTCCTTTGGGAAAATCTAAATGAGCTATAGAGACCATCCCATGTCTGAAGCAATATGAATAGAAGCAACAATAATGGGAACCAGCATCATATGAATCTGCGACAAAACGAGAGAAGATAATGGGAAACCAAAAAATATCATGACACGTCAAACCATGTCTCATCGACATAGAGTTATCGAAAAGAAAAGTTGGTCAAAATACAGACTCCAATCGCCTTTAGCTCTCAGATGGGTTTTCACAGGTGACAGAAAATCAGATTCCCTGCACACCTTGTCTATTCATTATATGCGTAGAAAAATAGCCGGGGCCGTATACATAGCGAAGTCAGAGCATAGCTCGCGAAATCGGTGTAGGACTTGCGATGAAGTCAATATGGAGAGTACCTCACGGGGCGGGCAAATCGCCTCAAAGGCCCTAGTAATGATGGAGGATGGGTCCTGACCCGCCAAGCTTGCCAATGACAAACCAAGCGGCGTTTGGTTGGGAGCCGGCATCGCTGCGTTGCAAATAAGGAGTCCCAGAAGGCTAGCATCCGAGGGATGCACATATTGACGGGGAGTCCGGCGCAGGAACGATTTTCATGATGTGTTTGCCCAGTCAATTCGGACGAACTACGCCGTGACTGAAACGGGCGAGCTTAACGACAATTGAGCCCAGGCCCAGATCGCTTCGGTAGTGACATATGGTGCATGCCGACTTCTTGGCAAATAATCACCAGGACGTCTAATAACTTTGGGCTGATACAATTGCAGGCTGCGGCAATTAGTACCTGAACTGAAAACACATCCAAAGAGGGGGGCTTTTAAACACAAATCTCTCGGCGTTGTTGCACAGCGCAGAAGTGGTTTTCCTTGGCGAAAAGGGAATCAAGCAAAGGAGAACTTACAGGACTGTTGAGCATGCTATTCCGCTTATTCCGTCCCTTCTTGATATGATTCTTCAGTGCGGTAGAATCCAACGGTTTCAACAACTCGAAACTGCATAGGAGTTCGTCCGAGACAGACATGATCGCTCCCCAGTTATCGAACTCTCCACAGTACTGCAAAGGTCGTTAGCAAATGCTAGGTGTTCACTTCAAGCTTATACAATGCATAGGAGCGACTAGGGAAATACTCACGTTAGGGGCAGAAAATACTGTGACTAGAATGCGATCCTGGTAGAACTCATACCCATCCTCAACTACCATGTGGGCTCGGCATACCAAGTCGAAGTCATGCCGTTGCAAGAAATTCATGATCACTTTCTTACCAAAGCAGTAACTTACGCCACGCTCATTAGGCTCCCAATCCTCCTCCATGTCCGCCGGATCACTCCAGAGAAGGTCGTTAAGCAGCCCGTAGTCTGGAACGTCAGTCGGACGCGCGATCCCCCGGATATCGTCCATGTGGGAGAGACTGGGTGAAAGTCCACCATGGACGCAGAAAATTTTGCCAGCTACAATAGAAGCGATCGGCAAGCAGTTGAACGTATCGATGAATGTCTTCCAAATCTTGATGTTGCAGCGCCGTTTACATTCATCATAGAACCCGTATACACGGGTAACGTTGGCACATTCATGGTTGCCTCGCAGAAGGAAGAAGTTCTCAGGATACTTGAGCTTATAACACAACAGAAGCAGAATTGTCTCCAAGCTTTGCTTGCCCCGATCCACATAGTCACCCAGAAAGAGGTAATTCGAAGATGGGGGAAAGCCACACATTTCGAACAATCTGATCAGGTCGGTGTATTGGCCGTGAACGTCGCCCACAATCTTGACAGGAGCCGACAGCTCTAAAAGGGCAGGCTGACTGAGAAATAGCTCCCGAGCTGCACTACAGATAGCGGTGATCTCTGCATTCTTTAGACAAACAGTCTTGGTGACCTTAGTTGAGTAACCAGCGTCCAGCAGACGTGTGATCATGTCATCTAGATCGATAGACTTAAGAGCGCCCATTCCCATCCCTGGAGACGAGGATGTATCATTCAACGGTGTGTTCATGATGAAATCCAGGATTGGATTCAGCTGATCCTGCCGCTTGATAAGAATGGACTCGCCGACTTTCTGTGAAGACCCCGTCGGAGCAGTACCAGTGGGAGGCGCATCCGACACGTGGTCAACCTCTCCGCTTTGCTGCATTGCATCTACATCCTTGTGGCCTCGTTTCAGGCTGCTTGACAAGGTGGGAGAGGGAGGTGGATCCGGGGCATCGAGTTGAGAAGCCGAGTCATTGGCACCAGGAGATTGAGCAGTCAGGTTAGTGGAGCTTCTCCTACTCCCCGTCGACTTGATCGACCCGGCATCGGACCTATCTGTTTGGCTTCCCGTGGACAGAGCTGAAGTGGATGCGCGAGGGCTATCACTGCTACGGATCTTAGATCGAATAGAGCCCCGAATAGACCGAAGAGACTCCTTCGTGTCGGAGCGAGAGAAGGATGGGTAGGACTGCAGAGAGTCGCCAGGGCCGGAATTGCCCTTGGAATGCGACTGGCCCATCACTGCAGGGCTGGATGTCTGCCAAGCTCAGAGGCGGACAACTGACGAACAGTATACGTCAAAAGATGAAGGAACCAAGGCTTTGCTTGGCGTTGGAATGCTGGCAGCCGTCTTGGCTGCTGTATAGTTCCAACGGCTTGTGAAAAATTATATAAAGGGAAGACGAGATCTGCCGTTTGGGAACCGGGAGAGGGAGTGGTGATCGTCAAGAGGAATAGAAGGGACTACCGGGGCAGCAGGATCGGGTTCAATGCAGGTTACTGCTGGAAGGGTAGAGCCGTGGTAGCCGACTCCAGCGGTGAGGGCGAAGGTGGGACAAGCGAAATCAACAGGTCCGGTGGAAGATTTGACGAGGTTATGGAGGAGGAACCGACAGAGAGGAAAGTGACGGTATCAGGACACAAGCCACCGGCGAAGTACTAGTTAGTCGGAAGGGAAAGCTCCGATTCGCCCGAAGTAAGCTTCTGCGATATGGCGGTTAGCGAGGTCGATATCATGCAGCACCTGGGATGGGTTTGGTGAGCACAGGTGAACCTGGAGCTCGGGAGTGGTATGTGGAGGCAAGTGGAAGGGAGTCTGAATGGGGGAGATTTGGGTTAAGTTGGTGGAGGGGAGGGGGAAGAATGATAGGGTGTGAGAGGGAAAAGAATGCGTCATTATGGGGGGTGGGCAATGGAATGGAGAATGGATGGATGAGTTGATGTGCACCCATGACAAAACCGTTATTAACTTACCCAGATGTAACTATTGTAAGTGACAGCAGCGATCTGCAAGAGAGGGAGGGGAAAAACCAGCGATAAGAGCTGAAAACCGATCAACGGGGGTTGTTGTAGCAAAGCAGGTGTGTTGAGGTTGCAGAGCGCAGGCTAACTTTTTGATCGGGTTCTCGCCTCAAACCCCAGGCTGTCGTTTTTTGGTCTCGATCCTGCAGCAACGGATGTGGCATGTCCGGATCATCTGCCGGTCCGAGGGAGCTCAGCTGTTTGCCTTCGTGGCCTGAAGACGGGATTGGTGCCTAGCAGTGGATATCGGTGGAGCTACTAAAATAACTCACCGTCGTCATTCAGACTTTATATATATTCGGTTGGAATGGTTCCCACCTTTTTATACGGCAATCCGTTCGGTGAAAACCAAGAATAGAAAAAGAGAGAGGGAGAGAGAGAGAGAAAAAAAGGAAAAAGGAAAAAGAAAAAGAAATTGTAAGAAAAATTATAAAAAGTTAGGGAGAAAAAAAAATGAAATTGAGCGAGAGAGCAAAAGAACAAGAAAGTCGAGACTGCTGCTAGTCACTTTTGTCCAGTCAGTCTTCTCATTCAACTTTTGATCACTACTAGTACTAATTTAGTATTGGCTCCCCCTCAGCCTATGAATGAGCCTCGGTCAACGCTCGTGACTCCTGGAAGTGGGAAAGGAATTTGACACCCGACAATCTTAGCACAGACACTCCGTTCGCATGCCCCTTCCCCCCTCCTCATGCCTCTTGGCCCCGGCCCCAGCTCCGCTTTCAAGCATTATAGGGCCTTTAACTTGACCGCATCCATGGAAATTTTGTTTCTGTCTGCAGGCTAGAACGAATCAGTGGATTACAGAATCATTGTGATGGGCAACCTCGTGCATATTCCGCAGTTACCCGACTTTGTCGCATTGTTAGACTCGATAATCTATTTGACCGATCAGAAAGATAAAAGCTGCAAGTTTCTAGAGATGTCTGGTGTTCCATCATGATAATGCACCATTTATCGACAGGGGCTTTTTTTTTTTTTTCGGATCGCAGCCCTAGTGTATCTACCAAGGAGCTCTGCGAGATAGCCTTTGAGCAATCAACGAAAGAAAACAACCAAAATATCTGCAGTAGGCTCTGGACTCCACCGACTGCAGGAACACCGCCACTTCAATACCAAAACACCGCTCACCACAAACATCACAGTGACCAACGCTGCCAAGCCCACAGACTGCGCCAAGCACCAGAAATATTTCTCCTTTTTCTCCTCGCCACGTTGTGGAGGGTGTTAGGTCGCATGTCTTAAGTTCAGCCTTTGGGCGATATGAAGGCGCGGTAAAGGGAAAAAATTTCCCAGTCAAGGTTGTCTAAGTAGGATTCGCAGGCCGATGTTGCCAGACTTGCATTAGTAGTGCAGTTGACCGCTTGTTTTCGAGGTCTTCTCCTTCATTATTATTCGGTATTGATGTGCCATGCCGGCCGAATCGGAACTGAAGGGAGGCTTGAGCTTAGGATTTAGTCCAACATGCAGATGGAATTCACAACCTGTAGTGGAGAGTTGCCTTCTATGATTTTTTGAGCGTTTCCCGCACGCGACTCTGCTGAGGGGTCTCCTCCAACTCGATCTTCGTGATATGCTGACCAGGCACGACCACAAGACCAATAAATCGACTTGTCATATTCACTCTGACATTCTGGGATGCTGCGCCTATCGCGGAGTCTTGGTTTTCTGCGTCAGTGGCAGCATCTCGAACTGCTGAGGGGCTAGGAAAGCGATATTCGTATGTGCTCGCGAGGATAATATTTCGCGCCTAGATACGTTCTACAGTCAGCAACTATCCTGACCTTCGTATTCCGTGCTTTCTTTTTCCGTTTTTCTTTTCGTCCGATCGATAATCAGATAATGGTTTGCACAGGGTCACTTACCGAATCTGTACACTTGAAAGCGCCCACGAAAATGCGCGTGTCTGTCGCATGGACTCGCAGTGTTTGGCCAATCAAGGATTCCAAATACTGGACGGCTTGGTTTTCATCCATGGTGCCCCTTTCGATTTAACCAACCTGTACAAAAGTAAGATCGGCCACTAAGAAAAACCACCGCCCGTTCTGGGCTGTTCTTCGCAGAGTCGTTAAAGACAATTAAGAGATAATGGGCGGGGCAACGGTGCTAGGCAGAAAGAACGATGATCTCTAGCAACGCTAATGATTCAGTTGGCTGTACGAGTTCTGGGGCCAAGCGGCCTGTCGGGGGCGATAGTACAGTAGGTACAGTGTTGAGTTTGGAAAGCCGCGCGCGCGAGAGAGAATCCTAGCAAAGGCTTCCCCCGCAATTACGTTTACGCATGTGACATACTATGAAACATTTAATCCGGAACACCAACAGAGCAAGTGACCTTCAACACATAAATACGAAGCAAAATCAAAATCGCATTGCCCCGCATTTATTCTCTTTCCGCTCAAGCTCGTGTTTTCTTCCGTCGTCCTCGTTCGTCCTCGAAATGGAAGTACAGTCTAAAATCAAGGTACGCTGTGAAATTACGTAGCACTTCCTGAGCACCGGAGAAGTGTGATACGGGAGTTATTCATCCTTGATACCTAGGATATATATGCTTTTCGTGGACTCGCTTTGAGCAAAGGAAATAAACTATACCAATGTGATACAATTAGGCTAGGAAATGCAACTTTGTTTATATTAGGCCCGCAGCCAGCATTCAATTGACCATGTCAATTCAACGCAGGACATGCACATAGATATATTGTATTAACCTTACAGAATGGCTTAAAACATCAACATCGATCACGAAGACATCAGGAAATAACTCCAACCATGGCCAGCAATTGTTGGATTCACCGAGAAACGCATCTCAATCGTCAGTGGGTATAAAGTAGTATGAAAGAATTTCGCACGGATCATTGACAATCAGCTGTCATATCACAGCCAACCCGATCCTCTATTCCATCTGTTGGAGTTTTCAACAGACTCGTTGCTCCCGGAGTTCATCCGCATCTCCATATCAACCGTGGTATCTTGTGAGGATGGGCTAGCCGCACTACTGCCGATTGAGGTGACGTTGGAAATAGTGTCAAGATCGTGGCGTTTCAAGAAACTATTATTGGTTCGTGGGGCATTGTCCGTTTGTTGCTTCACATGGTTGGGCCCGGGTTGGGAAGTCAACGGACGGGAGGGTTGGAAGAATTTATGCAATGTTTGTTGTCGTGGATCGACGATTTCTGATGGAAGCGAATCTGACTCCATGTCCTCATCTATATTCTCGCCCGCATGAGGAACCGGTCCTTGCTGCTGTTGGGCAGTGAAGAGCCAGCGGAGCGTATTTTCTACAATCGTTAGCCAAAGCTCGACACAGACCTTAAGGTGCAAAGTACAAACCATATACAACTTTATCATCCGGGCGGTCGTTCCTATAGCGCTTCCGTGTCCGACTATTGAGATGTTTTGGGGAGTCATCCATCATCAATGACCGTCCTGCGATGACTGACGCCGTATCAGGAGAATAGACTCCTGAGAATGAAGCCTTGCGCTTGAGCGACATATTCTGTTGACGGCCGTCTCGGGGTTGCAGGGATGTGACTGGTGTTGGAAATTGAAAGTTGGAAGCCGTCGATTAAGGTGGATTGTGTGACAGGCAAGTATCTGACGGACAATTCAAACTTATATCAATCTAAGGCTTGGATCTTGATTGCATTAATGAGAATAACAAGGTATTGTCCTTGCAGGAGCACGCGAGGGGAAGATCTGACTGCACAATCGAATTATGGACTCAGTTGAAGGCTATTAACAGGGCTGGGTTCAGCCCTTTAATGTGGTTGGTTGAAAGCGCGTCGCGTACGTTCCTGGCGTAGCGTTACCGTTCACAAACTATGCGCTTTTCCATATTCGGCTTAATTGGTATCACTGGGCTGGTAGACATGGAGCGTTCTCCCCCATCAGCACATAAACAAGCTATATACTATTCAATAGTATTACAGTGGGATGGCTTGTTGATTTGGGAATAAGGACAGTAATAACCAATGTCTCCTCTACCTTAACACTGCCGTTCAACCATGTGATCCTTTTACGCTGGGGAAACGATCTTATTTGACAACTTCAACGAAGTTAGACCGCTGTGCAGTCGACAACTTCCTCCTTTTTACTTCTGTATAGTTGTCCATCTGGCTGCTCCTACCAATAGGTTACTTCTGTCTGGTATTAAAGCTTTGCAGTCTAGAGTCACCTGTGTTATGCTAGGGGAAGCAAAGGGAAGAGAAAACACGGCCTACTGAACTTGGTTGTGTAGAATTACATCTAGATTGACAGTAACTATCTCTCCATAGTGGATCTTTATTGGGCATTTCACTATGGACCTATGCCTGCAACGTTCATGCTTCATTCAATCTTGCTGCTAAGTGGAAGGATCGGCATGCCGCCTTCAATCTCGGCATACCGCGGCGTTGTGGTGAACCTTAGGCACTCCACTTAATGACGAAGAGGTCCCGCTTCCCCGCTTCTATCCTAGTATCAAGCAACAAAGGTTAACTAATACAACTTCACCACTGCAGCTTCTATTGTATTGTTCGCTCTACTCTGCTCTTTCCGGTCCAAAGCCATACAGTATGCAGTCACGGGAAGCTTCTCATGCTGGCTCCTGGTATTCTGATAGCCAACGCACTTTAACCCGTGAACTTGATGGATGGCTCGCCCAAGTTCCAAATAGGGTCGAGGGCATAGGCTCCCTGCCAGTGCCTGGTGCACGAATAATAATTGCTCCGTATGTACTGGAGAATATCCTTTGCACTTTACACTGTCAATTCGTTTGCTGATCCCTCAGACATGCGGGCTATGCATACTCTGGGCCCTGTGCTGCCTATGCATACAAGGCTCTGGATCTTTCGAAAGCGTACGTGCCACGTCCCTACCGGAATTTGGATGATCTCTAAGCTCTACTGGAAATAGCAAGCGGATTTTCATTCTTGGACCATCTCACCATCATTACCTCTCGACCCTCGCTCTTCCTGAACTTACTTCGTACTATACCCCGCTTTCTGACGAGCCTCTGCCACTTGACACGGACCTTATCGCGAAGCTACTCTCAACCAAAGCAGTCAAATCTAACGGGTCCACTGTTAGCTTCACAACTATGTCACGATCTATTGATGAGGATGAACACAGCATAGAACTTCATTTACCATACATCCATCGTCTTTTGCAGCTCCATTTCCCAAATAAACCCACCTCCCAATACCCACCACTTGTGCCGATCATGGTTGGAAGTACTTCAGCATCTACTGAGAGTGCTTTTGGAGCCCTTCTAGCTCCGTATCTGGAAGACCCCGCCAACGCTTTTGTCATAAGTTCGGACTTCTGCCACTGGGGTTTGCGTTTCCGTTACACGTACTACGTTCCCCAGGCACCAAAGCCGGGGCCAAAGCTCCCACTTTCTGCTAACTCTTTACCCCAGCCAGGAGATGATATCAGTAGTGTAGAGGAGAAAATGGAATCGGTATCTGCGGGCCAAGCTTTGCAGCGGCGAGACCGCATCTCAAATCGAGAACCAGCGATCCATGAGAGTATCTCAGCCTTTGATATCGCGACTATGGCAGCCATAAGTACCGGCGTCACCGCTACTTTTTTGGATACAATCCAAACGACTGGCAATACGGTTTGTGGTCGGCATCCGATTGGCGTTATTATGGCTGCCATTGAGGAAATTACGAGCCAGGAGGAAGGGAAAAAGGGTAAATTCCACTTCGTCAGATATGAGAGAAGCTCGGATGCAGTTGATGTCGATGATAGCTCCGTGAGTTACGTCTCTGCATTTGCTGTGCTATAGCCTGCTTGGCTCTCTCGTTTTCTTTTTTGCCCCCCAACCTGCTCGGGGTTCATTACCTTCTCTTATAGTTTAACATGTCTATCATATTGCTTTGGAAGAACGCGTCTCTACCCTGTTACCCTGTTACCCTGTGACTAAGTGACTAAAGTTGCTGGTAGCAATTGATTACGATTCAGTTGGCATGTAACCCTCTTCACACCATCATACCTTAGCACTGACACTGTGGATTGTTTGGCATCTTTCGTCCAGTGTCCCCCTACTTCCCCCATCATCTATAGGTATTATTGGTCCAATTGCACCGCTTCCTGCCATTGCTTTCTCTGGATAGTCTGTGTGACGGGAATGCTACCCAAGGGAAGACAGAGTCATTCTGTCGCTAAGAATTGATGGGGGGGGGGGGGGGGGGAGGAGAATGACCGACGGCTATCCACTTCGACTTACCTGACTCCAAGCCCTACTATTGATACTTGAATCTGCCGGTGAACATGGCGAATGAAGCCACATTGACTGATTGGTGTTGGAAATACTTAATAAACTTAAAACCAGGAGAATTTAAGAATCACATGGCCTGGCGATCAACGTATAAACATCGGATGTTACACTCCACTGTGCGAGAAGTTGGCCAACACTGCGCCCCTACGCGGGATGACCAGTTGAATTCAGTACCAGTCTGAGGACGCAAGGAAAAGCCGCAAGGGTGACACACTGAGAGTCTTCTTATAGATGACGTTATTACCATGGTTTTCGACTGTCTGGTGATGGCATCGCGTGGCTGGCTTGTTAGGAAATTCTTACCCCGCAATCTCGATCTGCGATATGGGAAACCTGATATTAAGGATCAATTAACATATGCAGCCAATACATCTCGAGTAGTACTCTTATGCCCAATTTGCCCCTACTGGGTGTCTGTGCGTTAGTCAATTTTTTCTCGCTGTCATGTGTCCATCCCGGCTGTTCATTCTACTCTGTCTATGGTGGGCCACATAATGGCAAAGAACGCCTCAGCTTTACCCTGGACCAACCAATTGAAGGGGGTAATATATAACTTGACTAGAATGTTACATCCGAAATGATCGACGTTAGGGCTAATGGATTGTTCTACAGACATACACGTCCTTCTCGGGCCGTGCACCTTCGGATATACCCGTAGCGTCGACAAATGTATTGTACGTGAAGGTCGATTTTGCATGGATTGAGAAGCGAAGTGACTTACTTTTACCCGATTGACTTGAAGCCACGCCTGACTGTACCCGTCAACCTGTCTACAACGACTCTGCCAATAGCGAAGTGGTCCGGGGTTCCAATGAGTTACCATCAGCACCGAAGTCATTCCGAGAACAAGTCCAGTGGTGAACACTGACGAGTTTGATCTTACATCGCTAATATCTCACCGCGGACTCTGTGCCATGTGATGGATAGTTAGTTGTTCGTGTTCCAATTCGAACCGCCTGATCATGAAGCCCCCTTGTTGGCTTCAAGCCAGGGGCAGGTTGTTGTCAAGATAAAAGGGAGGCCACCGTGCAAAGGAATGCTTCAATTCTATAGCAAACAGGACAAAACAGCATTGCATTATTCAGGACAATGTCCAGATGGTGGCCGTATTTACTCATTATAAAGCTATCTTCATCTTCATAATTTTCCTTGCGATCCTTTACTGTCCGTTCTACCATCCATTGTCCAGTTGCCCTGCCCCAGCATAGCACATCATAATCCCTTTATCTTCGTTCAATTGACCCCTTTTTCATACTTGTCTGTTCTCTCTTATCCTCTGAAGAAGAGCAATTGATACCTCAGAGGCCATGCTTCCGAGAATACTCCCCTTGCTTCTCGCAGGCTTCTTGGCATTGGTCGCTGCCACACCAATGGCACAGCATATGGCTGATAATATGGCGACTGACAAGCTCGTGTTTTGCCATTTCATGGTTAGTAAGAAGAGAATTCATAGGCGCAAACCCAGAGTCTAAACATCACAGATTGGAATCACCAGCAACCGCCAAAGCGCTGCCGACTATGACGACGACATGAAGCGTGCGAAAGCCCTGGGCATTGACGCATTTGCACTAAATATCGGTGTAGACCCGTACACAGATGCTCAGCTTAACTGGGCCTATGAGTCTGCTGCCAAGAATGACATGAAGGTCTTCCTGTCGTTTGATTTCAACTGGTACAACACCGGGCAGGCCAGCGCCGTGGGCGCAAAGATCAAGCAATATGCAAGTCTGCCAGCTCAACTTTTAGTGGATAACAAAGTCTTTGCATCATCTTTTGCAGGTGACGGCCTCGATATCCCTGCCTTGCAGTCCGCTGCTGGAACGGATGTGTTCTTCGCTCCGAATTTCCACCCTGGTGTTGGAGATTTTAATGCAATCCAAGGAGGGCTGAACTGGATGGCTTGGGATAACAACGGCGAGAACAAGGCCCCAACCCCTGGTCGTACCATTACTGTCGCTGATGGCGACAAGGCATATGTCGATGCTTTGAACGGGAAGCCATATATTGCGCGTAAGCTCCACTGATGGCATCTTCCCTACTCACGGAACGTCAGGACTGACCATCAACAGCTGTTTCTGGTTGGTTCTTCACCCACTTCGGGGGTGAGGTGTCCTACAGTAAGAACTGGGTTTTCCCTTCTGATCTTCTCTGGTATGATCGATGGCAACAGATCCTGAGCCTCGGTCCGCGTTTTGTGGAAATTGTCACCTGGAATGACTATGGCGAGTCGCACTATATTGGGCCGTTGGCTTCGCCCCATACAGATGACGGGGCGTCCAAATGGGTCATGGATATGTGAGTGGTCTCGGCATCTAAAATATGAGTACAGACTAACGGTCTATTATAGGCCACACACTGGCTGGCTCGAGATGTCCAAGCCTTTTATAGCTGCGTATAAAGCCGGAGATAGATCAATCGATCAGTATATTACAGACGAAAAGTTGATCTACTGGTACCGACCTACCCCGAGAGATGTCAACTGCGACCCCACCGACACCACTATGGAAGGTAATCCCAATAACTCCAGCGGCAATTTCTTCCGGGGTAAACCCAACGGGTGGGAAACCCTGCAAGATGCAGTGTTCGTTGTTGCATTGCTCAAATCACCTGCTACGGTTGCAGTTTCCTCCGGAAAGAACAGCAAGACATTCGAGGCTCAGACCGGTGCCAGCGCCTTCACCGTGCCGATGGGGGTCGGCCAGCAGAAGTTCGCAATTACACGTGATGGCAAGAGCATTATGGAAGACACAAGCCTGAAGGATATCGTTGATACTTGCATTTGTGGTATCTACAATTTCAACCCATATGTCGGGACTGTCCCCGCTGAGAGTACCATCGACAAGCTCGAACCAGCTGGCCTTGCAATGCTCAGTCAAGGATTGAAGGTACCGTGTCCCACAAACACCCTGGGAGCTAGTGGTCCTCGTGTTACTCCCTGAGGGGCGCTTTCCTCTCTCTGGAGAACCATGTGCCACAGTTATGTTTTGTTCTTGAAGGGTATCCACTCGTTCACTTGTTTGATCTTTCCGAGGAGTTTCTCACAATCGCTCGGGCATCGGTGATATGCATGTGTGTACATAGCAAGACCATCGCTCATGCCAGTCATTCATCACTTGAAGAGTAGCTTATTGGAAGAGACATTGCTTAGGCATTGGATTGAAGCTGGTACCGCATGTTTTTCATTTCTTTTCTTGTTGTTATGGCCTGCCAAAGTGAAACACAGATCAGTTATACCGCAATCCAAGCCAGGCTTTGTCAATTCACTTGTATACAAGAGAAACACGGCAAGATAAGGAAAAGCATCTCCTGCTCTGTTGCAGATAAAGATCTTACTATAATCGGTCCTTTATACCCGTGACCGTAAGAAGAAAGGACTGATAGTGACACCAGGCCACCAGCCTCGATGCGGCAAGATGATTGGCCTGAGGCTATCTTAGTACGTGACTCTTAATCCCATCTACTATCTATCTAACCAGCCCCGCTGACGATAAGCATATCTTCACCGACTCTTCAACTGTTATTTGTATGTCTCAATTCCGCTATGATTCATATTTCTACCATCATTTCTGTATGCTTGGGAGTTCCCCCCAACATCGTATTAATATCGTGTCCGACCCCAATTTGACCCTGTTTCTTTAAATCGCGCGCTTACTGTCGGTACTACTAATTTCCCCTCACTTGTTAGCCACATACACTCCGACACTTCCATCTCGCGTGATTGATTTCCTCGTTTTCACTATCTGATCCGCATCGGTCAGCTGGCTGTTCGTTGTGCTAGTGCTCTACCCTCGGCTACTGACTGCGCCATTGACTTTCTGCTGGTTATATCGTGAAGACCATGATCTATTAAAATGTCGTCAGACGAGTGAGCGGTCGTCAGCATTGGGGGATTTCCGTATCATATCTGCTCATCCATTATTCTTCGGTGTCCAATTATTCCTCGGTGCATCCATCTCTACAAAGATCCAGCGGGATGGCGAGGATCAAACAAGGAGTGTTTTCCTGGGAGGATGTGCTGGCTCAGCGGTATCAAAGTAAGCGATATCTCATCTCTCCATACATACATCCCCTTCAATCGCAGCTGCCGAGCTTGCATACTCCCCAAAACCTTGGGTATACTTTCCACCCTATAACAGGTCCAAACCCCACCACAAACGGAATGGAAGATGGGTGCAATAGAACCACTGTTATGATTACGGGCTAACCTACAAAGATAACAAACCGACCGCATTGCCCAGACCCAGAAGAGCCAGCGCGATTTCGAGTCGAAGCCAAACTGAGGAACAGACAAGTCCCGCAATAGAAGGGACCATACAGGTACAGAGTGACCTGCTGGCAAAGCTATCTCCCGAGCTCCGCCTTATTATCTGGGAGATGGTCTTGGGTGGAATGCGCATACATATTGTACAACGGTCCGATCGCCGAATGAGCCACGTGTTATGCCCTCTTACAAATACCTGCGACATCTGCCGGGGGGATTCGCCGCAGCCAGTAAAGAGGAGGGCTCGAATGATCGGTAACCTATTGGGGCTTCCGATGACCTGCAGGCAGATGTAAGTTGGCTCGTGCCTACCGCAGTAGCTTGAAGGGTATCTTATCGCACGGGGTTGACTGTTTTTCTAGTTATTGCGAATCTATCTATATGCTTTACACCATGAATACCTTCGAATTCAGTAATACTTGGTCACTCACTTACCTCCGTCCGACTATACCCCCAGACCTCTGGGACGCAATCCGCGAAGTTGAACTTCGCTGGGCCTTCCCGGGCCACTGGCTCCCTAGCAAGGACCCCGTCAAGACGATCTACTTCTCCGCTGGCCGGCAGCAGTGGGTTGAGACTTGCAAGGCCTTGACGCGGATGAAGAGTCTTCAGTTATTCACGCTCCACCTGAGCGGCAGCTGGTTCTGCGAACCGGTGGAGAAACTCCCGGTTTTCCTGGAACCGTTGCGAGATCTGAACCTAAAGCAAAGGTGGAAGCTGCAGTTACCCAAGCAGCCGTATTATGTCAAGGAGGTCCGGAATATAGATGGGGATCTGCGTAAGAGAGGTATTGATTGTTTGGTTTGGGTGGCGTAAGCCAGGGCTGTCGTACATGCTACCTTTTACTCGTATATGAGTTGTTGGATTTATCAAGACCGGTCTTGGACCGGTACTTCACGACCATTCTACTATTGCGTAGGTATATAAATTGCAGGTCAGCTGTACACATTGGTAGTATGATATATCGACGTGAACAGAGGAGCCCGTCCAAACTGAGGGTCGGCATCAGACCATCCCAAACAGGCAACGCCTAGATCTATCATATCTATACACAACACTCACATATCCGAAAAGACGAGAATTAAAGACCCCTGACTACTCCGCCAACTAATATCAGCGTAGTGGGGCAAAAAGAACCTTGATATCAACCGCCAGCTATCATAAGCCCACGATGACCCCATCCCGGAGTCCAAGCACGTGCGCCCCGGTCTTGGCCCGAGAAGGCCAAATAGCCTAAATTGTCGGGAATGAGACCAATTCTTGCCGATATTAATTCATGCAGCCGAGTCCAGGCGGATGGGGTTCTCTGTGGCCAGGTTTTGGGGTGTTATCAGATGGAATGCAGGTAATTGAGGGCATCCGAGCACCGCCCAGAGCCGATCGACCGGTGATTCCCGGATTGGGAATCTTCTTGTCTTAATGGATTGTGTACCATGTTGATACAGTCAAACCTAGTATTACGAACAAGAACTTATAAGAGATAGTTGATATAGTCCTTTTCCCCAAGCTCACTAGTCGTTCATGTTCATCATAATTTCATAACCAGGAGTTTCTTTGGTCACATTTACAACTCAAAATTCAAGTCCAAGGATGGTCCAGAATTACTATCCAACCAACACAGGGAAACCAACCACCCAGCCCAATCCAGTCCAGCCCAGACCATTCCCCCCAAGTCAGGAACCAGCCATACCTTGTTTTCACCACCACCACCACCACCACCACCACCAGCCAGCCAGCCAGAGAAAAGAGCCCAAAAAGTAAAAGATAAAAGTAAATAAGATAACAAATAATAATAATAATAATAA